TCCTTATGCATAATAGTACCAAACTATAAACAACCCAAATGTCTAACCGCACTAAAATGGATGATTCGATTAGTCTATTCATGCAATGAGAATACTAGAGTAATTGACTCAGTAATAAAAAATGAATCATCCACAGCATGGATGAATTGCAAATGTAATACTGAATCGGAGGTCAGAAGGGAAAGGGAAAGCATACTAGATAACTCTGTATGAAGTTCAAGGACAAGCAACACTACCTCTGGAAACAACTCAGAACCATGGTCCCTTGTGGAACACTGAAGAGGGCATGGAAGAACCGCCTATGATGCCGTAAATGTTCTGCATCTAGCTAGACCTGGGTGTGGGCCACATGCCCACATGCCTTCATCCAGCTGTACGCTTAGGATTTATGCATTTGGCTGTAATATATTAATTAAACCACCAGAACACTGAAAAACCCAAAAACCAGAAAAATGCCACAGGTACCTGGGTTTACGTACGAATGCTGTACACAGAATTTTGAGAAATATAAGCACCTAACAATGAGGGAAATATACCTTTGTCCAAGTGATCAACTGTTCAGTTTATATCCCTCTACCTATCAATGATAATCTCTGTTAAAAAAATAAAATGGCAAACCACAGATGAGAAGGTATTATGCAACCTATAACCAGAAAGACCTCTGAAAATCTATTAGAACAGCGTGGCAATTCCTCAAGGATCTAGAACTAGAAATACCATTTGACCCAGCAATCCCATTACTGGGTATATACTCAAAGGATTATAAATCATTCTATTATAAAGACACATGCACACGTATGTTCACTGCGGCACTGTTTACAATAGCAAAGACTTGGAACCAACCCAAATGCCCATCAATAATAGACTAGACATAGAAAATGTGGCACATATACACCATGGAATACTATGCAGCCATAAAAGATGAGTTCATGTCCTTTGCAGGGACATGGATGAAGCTGGAAACCATCATTCTCAGCAAACTAACACAAGAACAGAAAACCCAACACTGCATGTTCTCCTAAGTGGGTGTTGAACAATGAGAACACATGGACTTAGGGAAGGGAACACCACACACTGGGGCTCTTTGAGGGGTGGAAGGATTGGGGAGGGCTAACAGGAAAACCTAATGTAGATGACGGGGGGATGGATGCAGCAAACCACCATGGCACGTGTGAACCTATATAACCCGCATGTTCTGCACATGGACCCCAAAACTTAAAGTGTAACTGAAAAAGTAAAATGGGCAAGAGATTGCTTACTTTCTCCTTTGTACTTTTTGGTATTTTCCAGTTTTCCTGAAACTATCATATACTTTTTAAAATTTATAGGCCAATGATAATACATGAATATGCTTTCCTTATAAGAAAGTAAGACATTCCAGATAAGGCTAAAAAGTCCCTATTGACCTCTAATCCTGGATTCCTCCCTAATACTCAGAAAAAATGACTAATTACTTGGTATGGTTTTTTTTCTAGATCTTTTTCAATGCAGCGTTATTTGTGGGGTTTATTTTTTGTTTACCTCTATGGCATCATGTGTTTCTTGTCCTAAAACTTCATTTTAGGTCAATACTGTATCTTTCACCAATTTTTATCTTGGTGTGTGCAAAGCTACTTTGTCACCTTATTCTTTTTACCTGCTTCAGTTTTCCAAGAGAATGGATATTCCACAGTTCATACAGCCCTTTGTCTACAGATGGCCATTAGGCTTTTTTTTTTTTTGGGGGGGCAGGCAGTTAGTAGTCCTCTTTCATTGAGAACAATTAGTATGTCATTTAAATATTTAATTCTAGCTTCCCAAACTAAAAAACTCCAGAACATTCATGCCTTATTCTCACCTCAAAGTACTGCCCAGGCTTGGCGATCTCCCCAGTTGTCTAAGCAGAGAGGGGAGTGTGCGCTTTGGTGAGCCCGATCCCTGCTCTGTGTTCCCCGCCCCGCCAGCCCCCGGTGTTGATTCCAGGGATCAACACGGGAAACCTGTGCTTTCGTTCTTCTCCCTCTGCTGCTGCTATGTTGTGTGACCTCAAGTGAGTGCCTCCTCTCTGGTTCTCCGTTTTCTCACTCATGAATAGAGGAGGCTGAAACATTCATGGTGGAGGGGGGGTCTGTCTCAGCTCTGAAGGTCCCTGATCCTGAGTGTCCTGTTGTCCTCAGTGATACATTCGAGTGACCACCCAGAGGTGCCTGAGGAAGTTTTCCTTTCCCGCAGCCCCCATCAATAGTCTGCCCCCTGGAGTCTGAACAGGGGAAGCTGAGCTGATGCTCTCCGAGTCATAGTTCCTCATGAAAAGAGGTGCTTAGCGGGAGACACTGGGGACCAGGGCTTCAGGGCCCCGCCCTTCCTACCTCCACTGTTCCTGGTGCCCCTGAGGCCTTCAGCAGTTGTTCGTATTTATCCCTGTGACTTCTGAAGACTACGCTGGTATAGCAGCCTGGGTCTGCTGATCCGTGTAATAAGCCTATCAATTAGTTGTCTGGAGAGTCCCTTTCAGGGGTAACAGAGATGAAATTACTGCTTATAGAGGAGAGCAAACGGTCCCCATTTCAGAGCCTCTCAGGGAGAATCTGAGAGCAGCAGGTCCAAGTTACTCATTTTAGGGATGGGGACACTGAGGGATGAAACGAACTGGTTCGTCCCAGGTCACACACACCATTAGAGGCAAGGCATCCTTTCTGGCTTTGATTCCAAAGCTCCATTATCTCTCTGCCTTTGTTCCGGCTCCTCCTTTCCCCTCCTGCCTATTCTCCAAGCACTGACTGCCTCCAAAGTGGGCCCTAGACTCTAAAAGCCTTGTCCATCACTCTCTTTCCAGTGGGTTCTCCCAGCAGCCCCCAGGCCTTGGAAAACAGCCAAGCAGACTCCCTCACCTGCTGCTCCCAAGCTCATATGGCATCCTGCTGTGAACCACGAGGCCCCAGGGACCTGCTGCCCGGCAGACTCCCTCCACAGCTCTTACCTCTGTCTCCTTGCCCCCGCGCACCAGCTCAATGGTGTCCCTCCTGTTCCTTCAAGCCCATCAAGCTCCATGTTCCTTAAAAACAGCACACAGCTCCCTGACACAGCCACTCTCCCTCCATCCTGTTATCCTGTTTATTCTGTCACACTCCCATCCCCATCTGCAGCCACACTCTGATCCTTATGACTCTTCTTGTCCCCCTCTCTGCAATACAAATGGTAACACGCTGGCTCTTACTCATGGCCTTTGATCCACAACCTAGAACTGCTCCTGGCAATGAAGAGGCTGACCACGCCTCGTGCTGAATGGGTGGATAGATGAATGGATGCCGAAAGAGATTCCCACTATGTCCTGAGAATGATGCAGCCCAGAGTAGCATCCTTCTGTTTCCTTCTACTGCTTTAGGCTGTCTCCGTTACCCCCACACCTGTAGGACTGGGCCCACTGGGAGCACCGTGTGGAGGACAGAGACAAACTGGAGTGCCTTGGGGAGGAGGCAGGAGAGCACAGGCTCTGTGAGCCGGACGTGAGGCACAGCAAATACCCAGTGGTCATGCAGGAAGAAGCGTGTGCTGGTTCTGCGGGGTCCCAAGAGGGAGACGTACAGGGGGTGTGCTTTTGTTCAATATGACAACACTACCAATGGTTTAGTTCTTACTGCATGACCATTACATGTGGTAGCTCTTTCCCTTGAAACTATCCTGCAGGGTGAAATAATTGTCCCCCATTATAAAAAATGATAACACCACATACTCTCCCCTCAGCCTGGAACAGCTTCACAGGCCAATTCTCCAGGCTACCTCCCTGGAGACGCCCTCCTTCAGCCCCAAGAACCATATTCTCCATATTCTGTTCCCACGGGCTCTGCACTCACCCGTCCTAGCTCTTGCTGTAATAGTGGACACATGACTTCTTAAATATGGACAGGCTGTGAGGCAGGGCTGGACCCTGCTATATACCCCAGCACAGTGCCTGTCCTATAGTTTCCAAGGAGTAATTATCCAATGAGTGAGATGGAGCAGGGATCCCTCTTAGGAGCCCAGACACCCACTCCCCACCCCCCCACCCCACAATCATAGAAATAAAGGAAAATCTTGAATTTCTTAAAGAGAAATTCCAGGCACCTAGCTAGCCCTGAGAAATAAACAAACAACCTGATAAGCAAGAAAGTAATAGTAACTTAAACCAACAGCCAAGGAAGCTAGAATCATGGGATGTTTAATTCCCTACAGACATTAAAGATAACATCTTCACATATGTCCCAGAGCTGTTTTCAGAAACCTGGACCCCACGCCAAACAGATGTGCTGGCATGTGGGCCTCAGATAAGAGGGAACTGCAGGTGGAGCTCTGACCGCACTTCTTTGCTCCTGACTTATTCCTGGGAGGCCTGGAAGAAGTCAGACCCACAAGCCAGAGCTAACATTCTTTTCTACTGACCCTAAATTTTAAAACAAAGCTTCTCTTCCTTAACCAGTTGCAAATCAGAAACTCTCTAGAATCTACCTATGACTGTAAGACCCCGCCCACTTCAAGATAGCCTGCCCCTTTGGGCTAAACCAATGCGTAACCTCCATACAGTGACTCATAACTTCGCCTGAAACTTCTGCTTTCCTGAAGTTTACCCCTGCCTTTAAAAACCCTGGTTTGCCATCCACTGGAGAGGTGGTGTCTTAAGCAAGAACTTCCCAGTTCTCCTTGCTTGGTACTCTGCAAATAAACGCCCTCCTTTCTCCTGGGGCAAACCTCAGCGTAGATGTTTGTCCTTACTGCGCCAGGCAAGTGGACCCCAGTATGGTTCCATAACAAGAGTGAACACAAACGAAGACCTAGATAATTGCACTAATCATGAATGGGGGAGCTGGGGCTAGACTCCACGTCTGTCTGACTTCAGCCAGGATTCTCATGGCCAGAACTGTGTGGACATGGACACAGAGCCCTTGTGAGCTTGCTCTAAGCACAAATCGGTGCTGTGGGAGCCTCAATGTCTGGCATCCCTGCCAACCCGGAGACATCCCAATTCCTTTGGGATCTGGACTTACCAGAGCCTGCTCTATGAGGAGGCAGAAGAGGATGGCATTGCCCACTTCCCTCAGGCTCTGGAACACGTCTGTTTTGAGCTCTGCGTACTCAATGATGTCCTTCAGCTGGTGGTGGAAGAACTCCAGGATCCCTGGGAGGTGAAGCGGGATGGTCAGTGGGAAGTGGACACTGCTCAATAGGGTCTATGGGAAACACTGAGTGGCGGCCCCAGACCTGACTTTGGGATAACAAAAAGCCAAACCACACATCCCTCTATCTTCAGGCCCAGAGTGAGATTTCTTTCAGGGCTCAGTACTAGAAAAAGCTCAAGAAGCTGGCTCATGTCTTTTTCAAAACAAAACATACACACACACAAATGGGGCAGCACTGGACCCTTCCCAGTCCCTCCAAAGTTGCCTGAATTCCTAATCATGACAGGAATACTTATTTGTAGGTGTCAGATATTATGCAGAGGACTTTATCTGTAATATCTCATTTAATACAACAATATTACAAATTAGGCACTATTATGCAACCCGTTTTCAGATGAGGCTCGGACAGGGTAAGGGCATGCCCGTAGTCACACAGGTAGTAAGTAGGGCAGCTGGGATTAAACACCAAAGATTTTAGCTTATCTTTTTCCTATTCTGAATCACAGACCCAGCACTCGACATCTTGGTTTTGAAAAAAACATCAGACACCAATTTGCGGTCCCCATCTTTCCCTCTTCTCTAGGCCCTGTATTCACTTCACTTACTATTAAGGAAGGAAAGAATTATTTCTCTGTCCAGCGGTCAAACAGCAAAGATGTCCACTTCCTGACTTAGATCTATGTCAACTTGGCACCACTGCCTGCAGCCTCAGCCTCCCCAGGTATGCAGAGGAGGTGCTGAGCTCACGAATACCTTTTCTAATAGCCTGGCTCCATGCTGTAAATGCGCTCACATTTGCTGTCCTCTTCCAACTTCCCAGCAGTCCTGTGAGGCAGGCCCTGCAAGCATCATCTCCCTCCACTGACAGAATGTACCACTGCTCAGAGGGATTAAAAGGCTATCCAGCTAGTGGCAGGGGAGGATGGATAGCCAGTACTCTGTCAGCTCACTGGCACGTTAGAGAAGCAAATGCTCCAAGGTGGATGGTCAGAGCCTCCCTCCCCACCAAGCGATGGGTCTGTCTGGACTGTTTAGCTGTCACCAACCTGGGGAGCCATACTCATGTCGGGGCAAGCGGCATATCTTGGGCATCACCTCTATCAGTGTTTTCACATACTGGAGAATGGTTCCTTGGAGCTGACAAAAGAAGAGTACGGATGAGTGAGATCATCTGCTGCAGCAAGTGAGCATCTCTAGGCTGAATTCTGGGCTCTGGGGGTCGGGTACGGAGGTTCTGCTGAGATCCCTGAGGGGAAGGGGCAGACTCTTGCCTAAGGGTTGGGAATAGTCCCTTTGACCTTTATAAGGGAAAATGAGCCTTTATAAGGCTGAAAAAGCAGCTCTCTCATTCTCTTGGGCTTATAGACTTCAAGGAGGGCACATTTCTAGGTGTAGGGTCTTTCCTGGGGCTGAGGATGCTTATATCAAATTCAGACTAAGAGCTAAAATGAAATGGAGCCAGGAAATTGTGGAGATTGAAACATCATATTTAAGCCTGGAAAATTCACGGCACATTCATTGCTCCCGTGCCCAAGGCAGATATCTTTAGTCAATTACCACATTTTCTTGTTTTACTCTGGATTTAGCTCCACCGTCTTTAACAACCCATGGTTCCACAAAGTTGCCGCCAAAGAATTGGAGTTAGCAGATGAATCCTATTTGCTATTCCCGACCTGGTTATATATGACTTTATGTCTCTTTCGTCATCTGAAATTTTCATAAAAATCTTAAATGTTTTGGCCTTCAGCTGTGTTCCGGGAAATGAGATGAAAGTTCAGATGACCCTATTTAAGGCAGATTCAGAATAGTGGTAAAGGGATACAGAACTCTCTTGAAGTCACAGCAGTATGGGGAGCAGTGTTTAGCAAGAAATCCCAAGGGAAAGAAGCATGGTGGTTGATTAGAGATGTCTGCCATGGATAAGGGAGTGGAAAACGGCAGCACATGTGTCATGAATTTGTCCTGCTCAAATTATATAATAGAGCACAGATGGGGAGGATGAGCAGTCACTGGCAGCCTCTGAAGGACAAACTCAGGATTTCTGAGTTCAGATATCAAATAGAAGGAGTTTGGGGTCAGCAATGAGGGGCACAGCTATAGGTCAAAATATGCACAGAAATGTAACAGAATGATATACAGACCAACCAAGGGATAAGGGCAAGGGACTCCCTGAGTGGTTTCTACAGAGTTGCAGTGCCTGGGATTTGTTTTTACAGGCCAGGTAAAAAGTACAAGCAAACCTTGTTCGTATCAACCCCACATGGGCACATCACAAGCCACATTGAGGCCTTTCCTTACCAAGCTCTTCACAATCTTTAGCAGTTCCTCCATGACCACAGCAATGCCCTGGTAACCCAGGAGTCTGCAGATAGTTTTGAAATGAGGCGGCCCCACGAAATTCCTGTAGGAGCTGTAGATGTGGCTGTAGGCAATGTTGAGGGGCTGGAAAACAGAGGTAGTGGCAAAGTAAGTGCCTGAGTACTGAATGGATACTGGTGGAGTCTGCTGACAGAAGAGTTAGGAACGCTGTTAATGGGTGTGCTCACTAGAACCCTATGAATATGTTTGCAAAATGGTTTGTGGTCAGTGACTACAGGATGAGGCACAGCCACCAGATGGAGCAGCCACTCCCTGGCAGAAGAGGATAAGGGGCTTCCAAGCCAAATATCCCTTTTACAGGGATTCCTGCCACTCATGACTTTCCACACCCAAACCAGGATTTTTAAAATGGAGCCATGGGGGAAAAGATAAACAGCCGATTTCCTTTCTTAAGAGGCATTTCTAGTACTAGAAATTGACTGGAAGAACCATATGAAAACTCAACAACTGGTTCAACATCGTCATCTTTCTTCTACTGTTACTTGTTTCTACGAATGACAGGCAGGGGCCTGGGAATACACAGGCCTGGGAGTCAGGAGACCTCTGCTCAGTGCATGGGACAGTGCCCAGGCTTTTTGAACCCGAGTTTCCACATCTACGAAATGAGGGATTAGATTAAGTCAATGGTTTCCTAACTTTAAGAGCAGCAATCCAAAGGAAAGATGCCACGGAAGCTTGTATGTGAAACAGGCAAAATGGAGCTGCTCTGGCTTGGGGCTGGCTGGGGACCCAGAGCCCTGGCCACCATCATTGTCCTCTGGACCCCATGAGACACCGTAACTGAATTTGAAGGACCTCTTTAAGATCCTTATCTGAGAATATACAATCAAACTATAGGGCACTAAATTGGTCTCTCTTGGTTGGGGAGAATGTCAAGTTACCATTGATGCTAATGCTCTCTTCTGGAAATGCTGCTGCTACAGAGCACCTAATACCAGGCTCTGTGAAGCCCTCCAGCTCTCTCATTTAATCCAACCAACAAACCTATGCAATCTATATCATGATTAGCCCCATTTCACAGATGAGGGAACTGAGGCTCCCTCATCTGGCAAGAAGCCTGCACTCACCTGAAGTGGGTATGGCCGATTCCAAAGCCCATGCTCCACCTATCACGGTGTATTTTGGAAGCTGAATTCTTATATAAATGATACTGTTTTTTACATAAGGTTTCAATTCAAAACTTATTATTTTTTTGAGAAAAAGTCTCACACTCTGTTGCCCAAGCTGGAGTGCAGTGGCACGATCTCTGCTCACTGCAACCATCACCTCCTAGGTTCAAGCGACTCTCCTGCCTCAGCCTTCTGAGTAGATGGGACTACAGGCACGTGCCATCACGCCTGGCTAATTTTTGTATTTTTTAGTAGAGAAGGGGTTTCGCCGCATCGTCGAGGGTGGTCTTAAGCTCCTGGGCTCAAGCAATCCACCTGCCTTGGCCAACCAAAGTGCTAGGATTACAGGCATAAGCCACTATGCCCAGCCTGTTTGTTTTTTGAGACAGAGTCTTGCTCTGTCACCCAGGCTAGAGTGCAGGGGCTCGATCTTGGCTCACTGTACTCTCCGCCTCTGAGGTTCAAGCAATTCTCCTGGCTCAGCCTCCCAAGTAGCTGGGATTACAGGTGCCTGCCACCACACACAGCTAATTTTGTTTTGTATTTTTAGTAGAGGTGGGATTTCACCATGTTGGTCAGGCTGGTTTTGAACTCCTGACCTCAAGTGATCCGCTTACCCTGGCCTATCGAGTGCTAGGATTACAGGTGTGAGCCACTACACCCAGCCCAAAACTTAGTTCTGAGTGTAGTTTTCCCAACTAGAATTGCAAAAATCTTGTACATGGAACATGCAAATATGGGATGATCACATAAGATATCTATTCGCTGAAATTCTCTATTAGCTAGCTAGTTAGAAATGCTACATGAGTTAAATGGAAATTCTAATGCTGCTTTTGGACTGCTGAAAGGTTTTCAACTCCCTTTGGAGCCATCAAGGAAATATTTAATTGTGTTCAGTCTAATTTTTGATTTAGGTATGTATTTAAGAATTATTCTAAACTTTACAAAACAACCATCACAACTATGCACTAATAAGAAGGATGCACAAAGAGCACAATTAAAGTTTCCACTAACAGCAAGGACTCGTGAAGAATCAGAACATCCACTCGTTCACCAGGTCGAGTAATAGTTCATTTGGTGAGCTCATGCCTCGATAATGGGAGGCCTGGAATGTGAGAAGGAACAAAGTTTTGTACACGACACTGAGGAGCTATCATGGCAAACTCTGCCTGAACTAGGGGAGGGACGTATTGTATTTAGCTTTGAAATGTATGGGTCAGAAATGGCTTATATAGGGAGAAAACAGAACTGACTTAAGAGTATGATGTTCACTGAAGTCGATGTTCAGCAAATCCTGGGAGTGTATAACTTGCTGAGTTGATTTAGTTAACTGTGGGACCAGGCCATGTAATTTTCCAGGTGTGGAGTAAATCTATTTTAGTGCCTCTGTCACAGGCCACCCTGTCAGACAGGGCCGGGAGTAGGTTGAGGTGACTGATGCAAAATGCTAGGAGGTATGTACTCTCCTAAATGAGTGCAACTTAGCTTTTGCCCTGTTAGCAAAGTCCCATTCTGTATTCTCCTGTGTCCCTCTCTGGAGATAAGGTATACATAGCAATCTCCAAACAAGCCATGGCTTACCTCTGTGGGAGGAGAAGACTGACTGGAAAGAGGGCATGAGAGAATTTCCTAGGGTGATGGAAAAGCTTTATATCCTGATTGGGCTGTTGACTACACAGATGTGTTTGTCAAAACTCACAAAACTGTACATCAAAACTCACAAAACCATATGTACAATTACGATTGTGCCCATGTGCACCGAAAGTTTGTGTCCCTTCCAAATTAGGATGTAGAATTCTAATCACAAACAAATTAGGATTCTTGTGTTGAAATCCTAACCGCCAATATGATGAAATCCTAACCACGAATATTAGGTGGTGGGACCTTTGAGAGGTGATCAGACCATGAGGGTGGAGCCCTCATGAGTGGGATTAGTGCCCTCGTCCTTGCTGTCTCTCTCTCCTCTCTGCCATGGAGGCTACAATGAGGAGTGGGCCATCTGCAAACCAGGAAGTGCGCCCTTACCCACTTAGACACTAGATCTGTTGGCGCCTTGATTTTGGACTTCTAAACCTCTCGAACTGTGAGAAATAAATGTTTGTTATTCAAGTCACCCAGCTTATGGTATTCTTGTTATAGCAGGCTGACCTGACAAAGACAGTGCCGTCTTACTGAATATGATTATACCTCAATAAAAAAGTAAATTAAAATATCCCACTGAGCTATGTCACGGCCTAATTCCCCTTCCCAAAATGATTTTCAAAGGTTAAAAAGCAGAAACATGCTTTAAATTTTCTCTGAAGAGGGCTGCAGCTCAGGCCAGCAAAGGCACCAGGGGGCAAAGACCTGGCTGTGCTCTCAGCCATGGGAACACATCATGGAGCTCATGGACTGCCCTGACAGCCTTCTCATTCTCCACCAGCACCAGGATCTCTGGGCTTCTCCAGTAAAGCCAGCAAAGCTCTCAGCACATTCCTTTTTGTCCCCTTTTCAAATATTTCATGAAAGGAATTTCTGAGTAGCAGGGAGCTTTCAAATGGATGTCTCTAAAGGGGATGAGAAGCAATCATCAGCTCATTTTTTCTGTCTGATTTTCTGACTTCTTTTCTAGCTTTGTCTGAGTCTAGAAGATGGGCTCTGGGGTGGCCACACCTGAATTCAAATTCTAAGTCTATAAATTTACTAGCTGGATGCTCTTGGGCAAATTACCTAAACCCTTTAAGCCTTGATTTCCTCTAAGTAGAGATGATAATACCAAATCCAATAGGGTTGTTGGAGGTTTAAATGTGATCATATATATAAAGCAGTCAGCATGGTGCCTGGCACAATGGAAATCCTCACTGAAATAATAGCCATTATTATGATTTTGTTTGATGACTTGGTAAATAGAGAAGAAACCACAGCCTCCTGGTCAAACTTCTCTCAGCAGCTTGGGCAACAGCTATGATTCTCTGATTGTAAAGAGGGGAGCACGGCCAGGCATGGTGGCTCACACCTGTAATCCCAGCACTGGGAGGCCGAGGTGGGCGGATCACAAGGTCAAAAGATCAAGACCATCCTGGCCAACATTTAACACCCCGTCTCTACTAAAAATACAAAAATTAGCTGGGTGTGATGACGAGTGTCTGTAGTCCCAGCCACTTGGGAGGCTGGGGCAGGAGAATCCCTTGAACCCAGCAGGCAGAGGTTGCAGGGAGCTGAGATTGCACCACTGCACTCCAGCCTGGTGAAGAGTGAGACTCTGTCTCAAAAAAAAAGCGGGGGGAGTGGATATGTGGGGTGTCATTTTATACAACAGTGTGTACCCCATAAAGTGATAGGACAGAGGTGAGAGCCAGGACTAGTTAATGGAATGCACAAAAAATGCAGATTTTACTCAACATTAAGAACATCATAAAAATGGGAGAGGTTCAGCAACAGATTGTACTGGGTGCAGTCCCTCCTCACTACAGATATCTCAGTAGAGGTGGAGAAACACCACATAGGGTTGTTATAAGGGGACCTGTCAAGGGCTGGAGGTGGAGACAGATGTGCTCCCTCCAGAGGATCAAGCTGAAATGCATTCTTCCTGTATGCTCATCCTTCCGAGCGGACTCCTAAACCCTCACCCAAGGAGCTTCTAGTACCAAGCTTCCCTGAACATTTCCCGGCAAGCACAAATAAATACACATTTACATATATGCAAACTGTTCAGCAGGACTTCCCAGATCTAGGCAGAGGCGGAGAATAGTATTGGAATTATTTACCACATAAGGAGTTTTAAAATGCCCCCTTCACACCCACTCGGTGCACTCTGGAGGCCTCTAGTTGACATTGCTGTCAGTCTTGGATTCTGGTCTAGACTGGAAGTTCAAGCTTCAGTTAATGACCCAAGGTGCATTTCATGCAAGAAGGACCAGCATGAAATGAGGAGAATCAATCCTCCTTCTAAGATTAAAAAAAAACTCACCTTAC